TTTTTTTTTTTTTTTTTTTTTTTTATCAAACAAGTAACTTTCTTCTTTGGCGCACAGACACTCGTAATACGTAACACGCTTCATTACAGTGTCGCCATCGACGGTTCACAGAAAAGCAACAGACCAAAGTTGAAGTCTGAGACTGAGAAGATGCAAATACATACGTGTATACGCAGGCAGTGAGGCGGGACCATTGTCCTGTGCATAAATTCCGCCTTTTTCCTCCACGACACGATCCGACTCTGCCGCTCACTTTCTCTCTCACTTTTCTCCAATTCCTCTTTCCCTTGGACTTTTTCTCTGATCTTCATGGAAATGGAGGATCATCACCACCATCAGTATGGAATTCCAGATCTCAGGCAACTCATCAGCGGAAGACCTACAACCCACCATTTCCAACAGATTCCACAACCGCCCGACATCTTCTCCGGTCACCGGAATCTTCCTCCCCAACCCCATCACCACCACCACCACCACTTTGACATGATGCAAATGGTGAATACTCGTCAACTGACCGACTTGCTCACTCGTGGGTTGCATGAGTTTCCTGCAGATTCCAGTGCCAACGCAGCCACTGCTGCTGCTGTTGCTGTTACGAGTACTTCTACTCCTAGTAGTGTAAGTGGGTTTGACGGCGATGGTGGTGGGTTTGGTACTGGTGATGGTGGGACTGGAAGATGGCCGAGGCAGGAGACTTTAACCCTTCTTGAGATCAGATCTCGTCTTGATCCCAAGTTCAAGGAGGCTAATCAAAAGGGTCCTTTGTGGGATGAAGTATCAAGGTATAAACTATACCTTCTCTTTTTCTTGCTCAAGAAATTATACCCTATTGTTCGTCTCCCCGTTCTATATATTACTAATTTCAAAATCTTAATTTGATATTAGAGTGCGAGTGTTTAAACTTTTGTAATGCTAAACATTTTAGCTACCTCTTTCCCTCTTGTATAAGAAATCCCCTCCTTTCTTTAACCGGGAGGGTTTTTGCCAGAATTGTTCACTTACTCCATGTTTTGCTTTCTATATTCTTCTCAAATTTTCTTCTCTAATTTAATCAAGATTTATTAGACCATTTTCTTCTCCTAGGAGGATTTGAGGCTTCAGTTACCAAATTTCTTACACATAAAGATTCAAAACTCTTTTGTTTCTCGTTATTCCGTAACACTTTTAAAGCCATTTAATTACGTTTCTAGTTGTTGATGATTTCTCGTTAGAAAAATACTTCACTGTGCAGGTGGTTTTTTCCCATCCCCTTTCCTTTTCAGAAACCTTCTTTAGTAGTCTTCCAACTGCTCCGGCCTTTGAAAATCTGCAGCCTTCATTCTTGTGCAACTACCACTGTTACTTTGCCATAAAAATGGCTGGCCCTTGGGATACTTGAATGCCCACCCTCTCATTATATCTTTGAGAACAGATTTTACATATAAACAGTCCCAATGACCCATCTGTCATCTCTGTTTGGCAATTGAATGGTCATGTGCTTTTGTTTGGCTCAACCGTAACTTCTCACCAAGGAAACCACGTGCCATTTCATAAGCCTAATGTTGAAAAAATATCATTATTACATGAACTTCAACATTCATTATTTCAAATATTTTATCAATTCAAATTAGGGTTTTTAATTGATTATTATAATCTTTCTTTTATTTTTAGTTTTAATTTAGAAATTTTATTGAGTGTAGAATCATGTCGGAGGAACATGGGTACCAGAGGAGTGGAAAGAAGTGCAGGGAGAAGTTTGAGAACTTGTACAAGTATTATAAGAAGACTAAGGAAGGGAAGGCCGGAAGACAAGATGGCAAGCATTATAGATTCTTCCGGCAGCTTGAAGCTCTCTGTGGAGACAGCACCAGCAGCTCAGTTCCGGTGCCGGATTCTCCCCTCATCCGAACAAATTTCAGGTTTCATGGTAATCCAAACACCGGCAGTGCTAATCAAGAGGGTTATAATTCTCAAAAGCTCTGTGACAGTCTTAGCCTCTCTAATAATTCCTCCGAGTTCGAGACTTCTTCTTCCGATGGCAATGATCTGAGCACTGGGGTGGCATTGGGGAATGATTCAAGGAAGAAGAAAAGAGGTGGGAGGAGCTGGAAGGCGAAGATAAAAGAGTTCATCGACGCACAAATGAAGAAGCTAATGGAGAGGCAAGAAGCATGGTTGGAGAAATTGACAAAGACTCTTGAGCAGAAGGAACAAGAGAGGATTTTAAGAGAGGAAGAATGGAGGAAACAAGAAGCAGAGAGAATAGATAGAGAGCACAAGTTTTGGGCTAAGGAACGAGCATGGATTGAAGCTCGAGATGCTGCTTTGATGGAGGCATTGCAAACTTTGAACGGAAGACATGTTAAGGCCTCGTCACCAGAGGAGCTGATGGTGGGGGAAATACAAAACCATAGTGAAAACCAGAATGAGAATGGAAGTGATCAGACAATGAACAATTCCGTGAAGGATGATGGATGGGGGGAAGATGAGATTTCGAGGCTAATACAATTGAGAAGCAGCATGGAACCAAGGTTTCAGGATGGTGGGTGTTCGGAGGAGATTCTGTGGGAGGAGATAGCTTCGAAGTTGGCTTGTTTAGGCTATGAGAAGAGTGGTTTAATGTGTAAAGAGAAATGGGATGGGATCAACAGCTTCCTGAGGAAGAAGAAACGGAAAGAGAATTCGAGAAGCTGTAGTACATATTATCAGAACAATGAGGCTGTATACAACACGGGTGGAGGAGGATACTGTGAAATCAATGAACAAGGTGCATCTTCGCCGTCTAATTCGAATGCAGCTGCTAGTGATAGTTGCTTTAGGTTCTTGATGGCTGATGGAGATCAGAACTTATGGGAAAATTATGGTTTGAAGCTCAACAAGGGAGAGGAATAAGAGGAAGAAGAGATTCAATTGAGGCCTATTTCTGTTTTCAAAAAGGAATGCATGCATTTTAATTTTATAATAACAATGATCAAGGAGCTGAGGCTGAGCTGACTAATTCATAGAAATGTGGTGTTCCTGTGGATATGTTAGGAAATCCAAATGAATGGTGAAAAAATAAGGGTTTGATGGAAGGGGGAAACAGTTGTAGTGCTGCTCTTGAAGGTTAGGAGCCTTTTCTGAAATCTCTTGTCCTAAGCAATTTTATTATGGTAGTTCCTAGTACATTCTGCTATGATAAGATACAATGAGTTTATATATGCATGCATGTTATGAATACTAATTGCTTGCATTTTTATTCAACGGAATTTTTAGTGTTACATTAAGAACTTACCTGCCTAACATTTAGTGAGTATAGAGGTTTGAACTACTAGCATTGATTTCAATTAAAAGTTGCTAATAGGTATCAACTTAATTAAGATCTTATTTGAGTAAGAATAGGTTTGAACTAGTAGCATTGATTTCAATTAAAAGTTGTTAATAGGTATCAACTTAATTAAGCTATTATTAAGCTCTTATTTGAGTAAGAATTGATTTGAATTTTAGGGTTACTATATAAATTCTGTACGAAAAGAAGAAAAGGGAGAAGAGTTGAGAATAGTACTGCAGGCAGTGATGAGTTCAGCAGTAAGGCTTCCTTCCCTTCCCCCAATTTAAATAAACTTTTTCTGCTTCCCAACCTGTTGCTTTAAAGTCTCCAACTTCAGAAGACTGATTGATTTCAGGCATGCTTTTATATATATATATATATATTTTTTGTTTGTTTCCTTTACTCATGACACAGACTTCTGCACGTACGTAAAACGACAGAGGTGATTTATATTCAATGCCTAATTTGCAATTCCTCATTTAGTTTTGTTTTCTTTTGTGTTTCTCCAGATAACTTAGAAGTAAAAATATCAAAAGCGAAAACTGCGTTTTAAAGAACTGCATATTCAGGAATTGCAGATTAAGTAAAGGCACAGATGAGGAGATCCAAATTCAGAATAAAAAGTCTACTTTTCATGGGATTTTTTTTTAGAGTTGCTCATATCATATCTAATACAACTAGATATAGTCTCACTAAAAATAAAAATCGACCCATCAGCATTTATAATTTATAATATAAATTAATCATCAAAACTAAAAATATAAATTTTTTTGGGTATACAAAACTATAAATTATATAAAACTAATATAAAAATAGATTAAACTTACTAACAATAAAACTCAAATTTAAAACTTCAATGTTTTAACGACTCTACTTTATGATTACACGCTAAGGCTTTGTTGGGCCATTGAGATTAATAGGATCATAGGTTAGGTCGGTGTGATCTGGACTGATGCCTGATTTTTGAAGACAATGGTGTTTGATTAAGTAATTAGAAAAGTCATCCTCAGTTTTCTAATCAAGCACATTGTGTACATAAAAAACATTTATGTTACCACAATATTTACTGTATTAAACGTAGAAATATAAAAGGAGATATAGTACGAGACACTATTATCACTAAATCCAAACATATACGCATAGCTTCAAGTTTTATGAGGCTCCGTACATGGAATCATGTTCAAAATGTCCTCAAGAATCATAAAAAGCCTAATATCAAGCTGTTTTAGTTTGCTTGAGGGAAATGTAGTGTACTGTATAAGGGCATAATCAACATAAGGTGTAGGGTTTTGCTCGTAGGGCTTGTTTGATATATTGGTAGTCATATATTATTATTTGGTTAAATTATAAAAATAAGTTAAATTAAATTTTAAGTTTTGATGTTTAATTTTTTTATATTAACAAAAAAATCCTATTTTTTAAAAAGGTAAAAGAATACCTAATGTATTCTTCATTTATTTCTTTATTTTAATAATAAATTATCAATTATTAAGGTTTATCTATTTTAAAGTTTTAAAAAAGTTTTTTAAATTTACCTTATTTTAATATTTTAACCAAAAGAATAGTTATTACCACTAATTAACTAAACATAATCTCAGGGTAAAGAAATTTTCTCATGCTTCAATAAAAAAATTTTTGAAACGCAAAGATGGAACATTCTTATCCCATTGCCTATTTTTCTAAGAGTAACTCTTTTATGGCCTAAGGTACGAACTATACTCATCATATAGACAATTTATTTTCCAACTTTTGAGCAGTTCAGTAACTGGTAATTTATTAATTCCTTCAGTACTCCAAGTAGTTCACTCCAAATATGGAATTGGCTATGTAAAAAAAGAGTGAGAGGTATCTTGATGGTAAATGAAGATTGTCTTCAACACATATTGCTTGACTTTGGCAATCAAAGAATGTGATGAAAATTAACACGTCAAAAGTGACCTTTGAACAAACTCGGCCTTAATTCTCTTCCCACTCCATACCAAGCAATTAGTTCTTCCAATTATTTATCTTTCTTCATCATCTCCAGCACTGATCACCCCATTAAAAGAAACCCATAAATATACCAATTAATACCATGTCAATTGCATTCAGTACCCAGAAAGCAAGCATCACATCTAATAATTCTAAACGCAAGACATGAAGAGAGAGAGAGAGAGAGAGAGAGATAGAGAGAGCGGCAGGCATGCAGAGACAGGCTTTTCAATTTCTACTGAGGAAGGAAGCTTACACAAACCTTATGTACACAAAACGTATCCTACTATAGTGTCATGTATTAGCCCCAGACAGGGACCTGACCCGTACCTAAACGAAAGAGTAAAGAAGCTTCCCACCTTGAACAGACCCTTGCAGTCAAGAAAAGTAGCAGTCTCCCTCTCCTCTTTCTTGTTCCTTGTCGCTAGGCCTGGAGACAATTTCGTCATTAGCGGTCAATGATGAAGTGATATTACACTACGGTTATTAGAAAATCAAAAATTATGTAAGCAAAATACAGCTTTTTCTGATTTGACTACATACTGGCCTGTGGGCTTAACAGAAAATCTGCCATACTCAGTAAACGGGAAGTCTGCCTTTTGTTATCTTTATGTATATTTGCCCAGAAATGGCAAAGCAGCAGCGACCTCATTTCTCGAAATCCCAAATAATACTGTGTTTTTCATGGTGGGATTTGGTATATTTCATTGAAAGAGTCGCGACTCGAGACCAACAAGAGCTTCTTCCCTCCTGTTTTCGAGAATCATCGACGCAAATACAGATAAAGATGTCTTCATAGGCTAGGGACTACAAATTGAGAGTTTCCATATTAGAGTTTCAACGGCGGGAGGTACATATTAGTGTGGGAATGCACAATTACTAGGAAAATAAAAGCAGAAAAGATGACCTAGGACCTCATGAGGCTCAGACCTAATTGCCTTTCATTTGGGGTTCAACTTTGATTTTTGTACGCCTGCAGAATATAGATGCCATCTATTTGAGGAAAATGAAACAACTTCTTTGGATTAGATACTTAAAAAAATAAAAGAACAAGGCTTAATCTGTAATGTCCGTGTCGTGCTGTGGGCTAGGATGACACACAAACATCTTTTGAAATTGAAGTTTGGACCCATCGGTAATTGCTCTTTTGGGCTGCAAGGTTAAGCCTAGTGCGTGTGTCGAGCTGTGAACTGGGATGACACACGAACGTTAACATGAGTCCAACCCATATTTGTTTCTACAATCTACCGCATGTCTCTCAATGACTTTCATAATCCAATTCCCAATTTCCATCATCTAAGACCAGCAATTGAATCTCTATTCCAAGCCGCCATAATAAATTTATGGATTTATTTCTTTCTGCAGAGCACTCGGCCAAAAAAGGAGGCTCCAGTTATACCGGTAATGAATATGACTGCATGAATAAAAATGTCGATTAGGTGCACTTAATTTTGCAATCACCAAGAAGGCTTACAATACAATAAGCAAGGAGGATTGTTAGTCAACCAGAAAGCTGAATACTTCTAATCAGTTCGACACACAAGTAAAGGAACCATAAAATACGAATTATATACCGACTATTAGATGTAAATCACCAACATAAACCACAGATAACCTTACCCGGCACCTACCAGCCCACAGGAGTAATCAGGTTCCTTTGCAGGCCAGACCATTAGGCTGAAGGCAAAATTGAAGCAAATAGATAAGAACAAATAACACAAGTTTCAGATTATCTGAACTAAAAATATTTGATTTGTGCCCAAATAGTCATAGGCACCGTTTTCAATGACAAGGAAAACCAGAGTTTCTAACCAAACTTCTAAAAAAAAAAATCATCTTTCTCCACAAGCTGAGTGCTTATCAGGTTTATTACTGTGTTTGACCCTACATTTGATGGGAAATGACAACGGAAAAAAGTCTAAAACTATTAGACAAGCCCAGCATTCATGCCGCCATTAAATGGAAAGCAAAAGACAACAAGCACAAGCCAAAACTTTAGTACTTGTAGTCCTTGACATGGAGGCTCTCAGAGGCACCCTCACCAAGCTGAGCATCTCCCTTGTAGGTACCAAGGGTAGCCTCGGAGTTGGCCTTGCACCTTGTGAGGAAAGCTGACTGGGCCTTCACAATATTCTCGTCTTTTCCTGCCCAAGTCTTGAGAGTGCTCTGCTGAAGAGCACGTCCAAATGAGAATGAAAGTGACCATGGCTTCTTGTCCTTGAAGAGTTTGTTCATGGCATTCAGGTTCACAGTAGCCTCCTCCTCACTCTGTCCACCAGACAAGAAAACAATAGCAGGAACCGCTGGAGGGACAGTGCGCAACAAGGCACGGACAGTGTACTCAGCAATTACTTCTGAGGGGACCTTGGGGGCATCAGAACCAGGGGTAACCATGTTAGGCTTCAACAGAGTACCCTCGAGCATTACATGGTGGTCATTGAGAGCCTTGTAGCAAGCAGCAAGAACACGCTCAGTAACCTCAGCACACTTGTTAATGTCATGGGGACCATCAACAAGAATTTCAGGCTCCACAATGGGAACAAGGCCATTCTCCTGGCAAATAGCAGCATATCTAGCTAGCCCATAGGCATTCTCATGGATTGCTAGCTCAGATGGCTCATTGGAGCTAATCTTGAGCACAGCACGCCATTTGGCAAAGCGAGCACCCGCCTCATAGTATTTTGCACAGCGTTGGCCAAGGTTATCAAGACCCTGGGTGGTGGTCTCACCAGTGGTGCCAGGAAGCACAATGGTACCAGCATCAACCTTGATACCAGGAAGAACTCCACCCTCCTTCATGACCTCAACAAAAGGCTTGCCTGCAGAACAGAAGGTGATATCAGATACAAACCAAAAAATTTCAAATAGAAATTGTAATTCAAAGAGGATATGTTTCAAAATACCACTGGCAGTCTTTTGGTAGAGGGTTTCCTCAAAGAGAATAACACCACTGAGGTACTGCAAGGCACCAGGAGTGCAGAAGAGGAGCTCACGGAGAGCACGCCTGTTTGATTCAACATTCTCAACGTTGATGCTGGCTAGACGCTTGCCAATTGTTCCAGTCGACTCATCAGCTGCAAGGATTCCCTTTCCAGGGGTGCCAATGTACTTAGCATTTGCAGCGAGCTCATCTGTAAAATTAAAAAAATATATATATATTGAATTCAGAAAAGCAGATTCAGCCAGATGAAACATATTCAACTAAACTAAAAACCAAAATAACAAAAATCCGCACAAAGGAATTAAATTACCACAGGAAACAGATTCAGTTATTTAAGCGCGCACATCAGCCATATGAATAAGGAAGAAACTAACACAGAAATTTCACGTATGTCCAGATCTGGTGTCAGGATTTTCATCAATTCTTAAAAAAACCTAACTAAATATTGACTCTAATAACCTTGAGATGAACCAGAAGCAACTCCTATATATGTAAAAACTAGAACTGTTAACCAATTCGTCTGGTTCTATCAATCACACAGTGCAGGAAATTCAACAATTTCAAGACGAACAGAGGATCCGATTCACAGATATCCATTAGGACCTCCGACCTAAACGATTCTAGAAAACGGAATTCGCTGATCGGAAAACAATTCCATTCATTTAAATTGATTAACAGGAAAAACAGAAACGGAAAACTTGCAAAGAAACAGAGCTATCATTCAATCCTCAAATCACCAGAGAACTAAAATATAGAAAAGAAGCATGGATTCAGGAAGCTCGCATCAAAAAATTTGAGAACATAGATCTAAGAATCACAGTTGTGCCAAATCAACATCGATCAAAACAGCAAGAAATGAGAGTCGTAGAGAAGGCAAAAACGAGAGTAGGTCTGAGAGATTACCAGCATACTTGCTCTTGAAGCACGACATGGTTGGTGGCTAGAGAGATCGAGAAAGCTTTTGAAGACGAAGGAGCGGCAACGAGAAATGGAGAAAGAAAACAGGACACAGCGGAGGGAGAGCGGGTTGGAGTTTATACTTTATAGATCGTTAGTGACCGAAGGGCTAAATTTAATTTTTCATCTACTAACTATTGCTCTCTTTTCATTTTAGTCTAGAAAGTTCAATTTCTTTCAAAATCATCTATAAACTTTGAAAATCATTTCAAATTCATCTACCTAAAAAACTACCCGTTAGCTTTTTTAACAGAATCCCATGGCAAGCTTACATGGCACCAATTATGTGGCACATGGGACCAATTATGTGGCATATGTAGTTATGAAAAATTACACTTTAATTCTAAAATTTTCACAAAATTTT